TCCTTACCCCTGACGGAAGACGATCCGATGCTGCAGTCAGCAGCGTCCACAGCAGTTTTACACGTCCATGATTTTCATCGGTACATCATTCAACCCACAACCCCGTCTCTCTCTCTCTCTCTCTCTCTCTCTCTCTCTCCCCCAGTCTCTCTGTCTATATGTTTCCCTCTTTCTCTCCTCTCCTTTCTCGCTCTCTCATTTTCCGTTGACAAGCTCCCTGAATCTTTGACCACACAGCCTGGAAAAATAGCACCGAGTCATGCTGCAAGGCAAGTCTATCCCTGACCCTGATTCCCTCTCACCACATTTCCATCAGCAGCAAAGTAAAACACATCTAATCATTTCAATTTTCCCCCTCCGTCGCAGTATTATTAACATTGTTAATTTTCTGAGGGTTGCAGCCCAGAGGGGAATGTCAAGGGAAATGCATTATGGCGAGATATTCCATTGATCCGCCATTATACACACTTACTGGGTTGCTGTAATGGCCTTATGCTAAGAGGCCAATTTAAACTGGATGTAAAAAACAGAAGGCTATTCATTCTCAAAAAAAAAAAAAAAAATCACATCAAAATATAGACATGCCCCCGCCACCCCTGTAGGGTGTGCTATAAACACCAATATAACACCCCGTTAATTTAAATAAAAGTAGTTCTTCTCTCTTATTTTTTTTTCACAGTTGCTCTCTATACTTTGAATTGTGTTACTGCCACCTACTGGGTGTTATGTTGTAAAGATTAGCAGCACTAGTTTTTCGCTAGTTTTCCCGCCTCTAATCTTGCGGTGTTACCTGAATAAAATCTCCCTGAAAATGTCATGACTTAAAGAAGATGGTAAAAAAAAAATACAGACATAATCAAAACCATTGAGATCAAGGTTCAATTTTCTAAACTAAAACTTTTGCCCTCTCAGTTTTTCTTTTTTTTTCTGATTGCGAACCTCGGCAGTGAAACACGAAACCGTAAGCCGAGTTGCCTTCATGAAGTTCACTGTGTGCTGAAGAATTACAGTAGATGTGAGCAAACAAACTGCACACTGCACCGCCATCACTTCTGTCCACTTGTCACTAGGAGTGGTTTCATTTCCTACGAAGCAGAACAACCAGAAGAATTCTTCGCCAAAGTGAAACGGCTCAAAGAAAAACAAGGCTGAAATGGAAAAGCTGACCGCTGGTATAGTTGATGAGACCGTGTCTGTCAGAGGCTTTGGATCATTTCGCTCTGCTTTTTCAACTAAAGTTAAATTATTTCTGAGAAGAAAAACCCGTTATTTCAGTTACAATCCACATAAACAAGACTTGCCTGTCATTTCGGGTGTCCACGGTAAACGGCATACGATTTATTCACGCCGTCATCGAGACAGGTTTTTATCACCACCAAGTCATCCAGTCGGATGGTTAGCGGTTAGCATTTAGAGCAAGAACACGATTGGCTCACTGATCCAGTCTGGGTATTTCTGTAAGGAGTTTTCATGTTCTCTATTTTCCGATAGTTCAAAACATTTTCTTCAGTATTTGATTACCCGTCCACTCTGAATTTACTCAAGGTGCAAATGTGAGTGTGCTCTGGGCGTTTGATTCTGTATGTGGGTGCGACCAACTCAAGCCTGCTGAGTTACGGGACGGGCTCAAGCCCCTCACCTCACCCCACTTGACCCTGAACGGATTCAGTGACAAACCGAGTAACTGTTCATTTGTTGTTAAAACTGTGAAAATGAAAGAAAATTACTACAAAGTTTCTGATCCCTCGTTCAGAAGCGCCTCAGAGCTGCGGGCTCTTGGATTGGATACGGGCCATGATTGATTTGAGTCTAGGATGTCTAATTTAAAATACAAACGGAACTCTTTTTAGCATTATCTGGACATTGACAAACATCAGGAGCAACAAACCTTCATCATCCAACTTTGAAAGAAAAAACCTACACCTGAAGGCAACGCAAAACAGTGAATAAAAGTCCGATCTTTCCCCTACCTTTCCTTAGCCATGGCACATATTTGACATTAGAAGAATCCCAAGGTAATCCACCAAACAAAGATGTCTCAATAAGTAAATATAATGAAATATATCATCTAAGGAAAGAGGATTTCATTGTTTTTGCTTGTTGCTGAAACATACATGAACAGAGACAACAATACAACAGTCGTAAAAGTCGACCATTTTCCATGGTTCACCTATGGAGGTGTCTCACGGCACGCTAATGGGCCACGACACAGTCATTGGGAATCACTGTACGGCACGCTAATGGGCCACGACACAGTGATTGGAAAGACTCAACCTCAGTAGGTTCATGCCATTATATATATAAAAAAGTAGATTTCCTAAAAGCAAGAAGTTCAGTAGGTTCATGCCATTATATATATATAAAAATAGGAAAACACTTATATTTTGTCATATTTAGTAGTAAAATGTTTTTTTGAAAGACCGGGTTGGTTAAAGTAGAATAAAAACAAGAACTCACGTATCTCTTATCTCGTCGAATTTCCAAGCAGACTCCGGCTGACGTGGTACCAAAGCTAGAAAAAAACAAACAAAAAAAAAACCTGTAACTACCAATGCATGTGATAGCAGTCATATGGACAATAACGACACCAAGCATATAATCAGGCCTGGTTAACATAATCGTGCCCACCCAACGCCGCGATGTTCATCAAGCTGGCGGTGCCTACTGTACGTACCCAAAAATCCAAACCACACAGGGCAGAAAATAGTAAATAGAGCAGAGAAAGCTTTTTGAAGAGGCTGCTAAGAACTTAACGCATTCCCTAATTATAGATCTCACTTGCTCTCTTTTGAAGGGAACTGTAAATGGGAACACGCCAACGTTTTAGATTACTACAAGACTTATAAAAATAAGGAGAAACAGCCCGTTGGCGACCACTTTTCACGAACGTAGCAGCAGCTTTAACTTCCCCTCTCATTTCACCTTAATGCAAAACGTTCGACATTAATGAAGACCGAGGAGAAAAAGGAACAGTTCACTTAAAGACCCGCAGGAACACGTGTGGGGAATGAAATGGTTCACGCTCACGTTTTTGTAAGGTTCAAATGTGTATTTGTAAGGTTTTCGACAGAGTAAAAGTGCGACTGAGCCACAGAAGACGTTTCTGGATGCATCTCCTCTGGGTCTGATACGCAGCAGGTGTCGTGGAACTCTTTGCTTTCGCATTGAAATGAGGCCTCCACGGGTTTACGTGAGCGCAGGAGTGTGTGACAGCGTAAACCCCTGCATGTTGCTGCCTTTGTTCTTCTACTCACACCCCTTCTGGAATAAGAAAATAAAGCAATGAAGGTCAGTTGGAGAACAGACTGCCAAATATAGTCGCTGTGTTCATGTGAGGGCCAGACTCTCCAGAACGACAAGCCCAGCTCTGACCATGCCCTGTAATTGAGGAGAAAATAAGGACAGAAATTATATGTTTATTTTTGACAACAATTTTAATCTTCTGCGCTCTCCTTCAGAAATGGAGGCGCCTACGGAAAGGCGCTGAGAATCTCTCCCGAGACTAAAAGGTTGAGATTTATCAGCTTTTTTAACGAAATGCAATCCGATAAATGGAGAGTTTTTGAGATAAGATTGTTTTTCTGCCTTGGACTTCTTCAAATAAAGTGAAATTATGTTTGAAAAATTTTTAAAAAACTATTCATTATTTTAAAATTGTTTAACTCCAATTCTCATTTATTTAGGTTTATTCAAAATAAAACAAAATTAATGATTTTCAGAAAGGTATGTAAGGTCCATTAAATATAAAAATCTCTATTTTTTTAAGAGGTGCTTCAACATTTGTTTGTCATGCAGACTTAACTATGGCTATTTTTACTTGATTACAAAGATGTCCCTGTCTTTTTTGGTGACAGTCACACTCTTTACAGTCATATTTGACCCAAAGATAGTATTTGATGCAGTTTTGTACAAACATTGTTTGGCTGTTGTCTGCTGCGTTTTAGACTTAGGCTTCTCCACAGTCTGTGGTCATGACATTTCAATTCACGTCTTTGTCTCGTGCCAGGAATTTACAACAGGAAGTAAATCTTGACTGCAGGCTGGCCAGCCCAGGAACATACACTATATGTATATCTTTTTTAGCCTTTAGCACAGGGGTGTGAAACATACGGCCCGTGGGCCAGAAACGGCACATTTGGTGGTTCAATCCGACCGCTTGATGAATATTGGAAATAAAAAAATATACGCGAAACACTTAATTTTTGCTTTAGCTTTAGCATCTGCGTCAACGTTATTGTCCTTGCATCTGACGTTGATTGAACTCTGATTAGCTTTTGTTTTGAAGTAAAATATGAACTCAGCCTCCGAGAGTTCAATACTGTACAACGACTCAAAGGTCCACACATTCAGCAGTTGTTTCTGCCATTAGCTGTTTTGCACAGATGGTTTGAATGACACAAACGTATTGTAAGACAACGTTTTAACTTGACAGACAACAAGTATCTTGCAACGTTCACGAAGCGGCGTGTTATGTTCTGGCACAACTCGTCCAAGGTTGCAAAGAGTCTTGAACTTGACAAACAACCTGGTGCCAGTAAACTTCCAAGATGTTAATACGATCATTTGATGCTTAAAATACATCAACCTCTAATTTTTTTGAATGCTTACCAAATAAAATGAGTTTGAAATAAATCACTCTTACCTGTTTATATGAATTCATTTACTAAGATTTTTTTCCTCACCTATTCTAAACTAAAACCTTTTTTTCTGAAAATGGTGTAGAATAAAGTATCAATATAATATAATAATAATTATGACAGTTTATTTACAGTAATGTTTTTAAAAGCATCATTTGTGTAGTTGGGTATTACTAAAAACAACGAATTACACATCTATCAACTATAAATTTATGTAAAACAAATAACATAAAAAATTGTTTGATAATTTCTCTTTGACTTTTACTCAGGAGCTCACGGTCATTGCTTGGCATTCAAACACAGTCAAAATTAAATAAAAACAACATTTTTTTTTACAGTTTCCTTTATAATCTAACTAACCTGTGTCTCATATTTTAGACGTGGAAAAAATGTTCAAACAGATTTAAAATCCTACTGACAAATAACTCTGTCAATATAGGTTAATCTATTCTGTCATTTTTTTATTTTTTTTGTTTCTGTTTTGTTTGTTTGTTTGTTTCGTTTTTTATGTTTTTTTTCCCCTCTATTTTGTTTTTCATTCATTCTGTTCCTGGCGGAGGAAACAGCGCTGCCAGTTCACTTCCCCTCTCCTTTTTTCCGTATGAACTCATTTTATTTGACGCGATAATCTCTTCTTTATTTTATGTGATGACTCGATCCTTTCCTCCTCCGCTCCCCTCTGCAGCGCAGACTCTTAAACCATCACAATTAATGTCGAGAAAAGCAGTTAACTGCCTTAAAGTATATTGAAAGCAGAGAGAGAGACAGACAGAGAGAGAGAGAGAGGCTTGAAACCAGAATAATAAAAGCTGGGCTGGAAACCACAGACTCGGTCATCTTATTATTTAGTATTTATTTCTGTGGCTCAGGCCGATCATGCTGTTATTCATCTCGCTCGCTGGAGACTCTGTTTTATTTACATGTCTATAGTGAAACCACTCATGCCTGCGTTTGTCCATATGCCTGGGTTTATGATGTTACTGGAGATGCAGTAAAGTGGAGTACTCCGCTGCCCCAGTCTCCACTGGACCGGGGGCTGGGGGGCAGATAAAGCCAGTTAAAGTTAAAGTAACGTCCACATGGTGATTGATGAGGAACCCATTCATGCGTTTGTCTTGAAAAACCATCCGACACTGCCGGAGAGGTTTTGGGGAGGTGGGATGTTCCTCTCGGTTTAATCCACCAATCCCGTGCGTCTCGCTCCATCACTGGAGTTTTTATTGCTTCTTAGCGAGTCTTCAAAGAGCCCCGAGCCTGTAATTAGGGGGCGGTTCTCCCTGAGCCTCAAAACACATCCCCGCGTTACAGCCCGACTTCTTCCAAAGTGTCCCGGGACTCAGAGCTGCGCTTCTCCCGCTGCCCCTCAGCTTCCTTAGGATTTTCTTTCTCAGGGATGGCCGCATCTATTCTGGAGGTAGGGAATGTAATTGTAAGTACATTTATTTCCTCCATCTTCTCGAATGTTCTTCCTTCCTTACGTGAGCACGTCGTTGACATGTCTACTCTAATCATTTGCAAAGGGTTCAGATGACGTTCGTGATTGGCTCGTTATTTGAGAGTTGTCAAAACAGAATTCGTTGAAATAATAATTAGCACGAAGATAATAATTTAAACAGATTTTTCTGATTTTTTTTTTCTTTTCAGAAAACTAGTGAAACTACTCGGTTTTTACATCTTTGTCCACACAGTTGTTTTTATGACCTCTGGTGGCATTCGTTTCAATTATCAAGGTATTTATTTAAGAACCGGAATTGGAAATTTACAAGATTTACAAGAACATTTCTCTGTTGACGGATACGGAGATAACACACTCTCACATTGCAAACTGGGAAAAAAAATGGAAATTTCTGCCCATGAGCCATAAGGATACTTTCAATTTTGCAAATTTAAAGTTTTCTGTAACGCATTCAAACTCTGGGAGCTGTCAGCGTGCTGTCCCTGATAAAACAATGTCCAGCACATGAACAGCTTAGAGTGAACCGTAAATGAAGTTTACTCTGTGTTGTAGGTTAAGAACTTATAAATAATGAGTTCAATAAACGCATACTGTGGTCAGTGAAACAGGAGTGAGGCCTTTTGTGGCCCCGGGTTGGTGACCTGCCACGTGGAGAGTGGATATATCAGAAATAAACATTTGATACAAACAAACAAAAACAAAACTGTATAAATTAATGGTTTTCTAGATGCGTTGACGCATAGGAGAGAAATTTATAAAATGCCGTTTTCAATTTTTAAGCTCAGCAAACAAACGCTACACTGTAAACTAAATTAGCCATTGTACAAAAAAGTGCAATAGTTAAGGCAATAATGGCTGTAATTAGATGAGAAAATAAAAAAAAATATATCCGTGACTAAGACACAGTTACAGATCATAATGCCGTGCCGTTTCCCCAAGGCAAAGATTTGGCAAATTTCAAAACAAATATTATTGCAGCGCGGAGAAAATGCTTGTAGACAATGGTTTAAAGACAAACAAAAGAGCGAAGGAATTCTGCCTCTGCTGACAAGGGCCGAACCCTCTGAAGAGTAAACATTCAGTGCCTTAAATTGCCCTGACCGCTTTGAAAACCGAGAGCAGAAAAAGCCAGCGGTGGCAGTCGGACATAAGTTTTTTATTAGAGTTGACACTGACAGAAGCAGCAGCGAGCAGCAGCAGCAGCAGCCATTTCCTGCAGACAGACAGTCTCATTTTCTCCCATGTCTCCTCCTCCACAGGAAGACACACGCTATGGCTCCAGTCCCCTGGCTATGTTAACTGCTACCTGTAACAAATTTGGCAGCACAAGCCCCGTCAGGGATTCGGCTACACCCGGTAAGACCGGCAGCATCGCTACAGTAAAGAAGCCCTACACCATGACCTCTGACCTGCAGACTGTTAAGAACGGACGCGCCGCAGACGGCAGCGGTCTGGCGGACTCCTACACTGGCTCCTTCACCACAGCCGGAGCAGGAGGAGGAGGTGGCGGGCTGCTGACACCCACTGGAAGCCCCCCTCCTTCAGCCGGAGGCTACTCTACAGAGTACAACCCTTTCTCCCCCTCTTTCCAGACCTCCGTCTCCCAGGACCCGTCTCTCTTAGTGTCCAAAACCCACGCTACGGCCGATTGCCTCACCAGCGTCTACACCTCACTGGATATGACGCATCCATACGGTTCCTGGTATAAAGCGGGCATCCACCCCGGCATCACCGCCGCCCCAGCGAACGCGACGTCCTCCTGGTGGGACGTCCACTCCAACACCAACTGGCTGTCGGCGACGCAACCCCAGAGCGACGGCGGTCTTCAGGCGTCCCTGCAGCCTGTAGCGCCGCAAGCATCCCTGAGCCCACAGATATCCAGTTACAGCACCGACTTCACGCCCCTCAACCCGGCTCCTTACCCGTCTGTGGGGCTGGGTTCCTCCTCTCACCTCCTTCAGCCCTCCCAGCACATGCTGCCCCAGGACATGTACAAGCCCAAGCCTGTGCCAAGCGCAGGTTTGATCGAGAGTCCCATGGGCCTAAAGCCTGCGAGGGGATCAGGCGGCTACAACGGAGGGGGCACACCCACTCGCTCCTCCTGCGATTGCCCTAACTGTCAGGAGCTGGAGAGGCTGGGAGCCTCCGCTGCCTCTCTGAGGAAGAAGCCGGTCCACAGCTGCCACATCCCGGGCTGCGGGAAGGTGTACGGCAAGGCCTCTCACCTCAAAGCCCACCTGCGCTGGCACACCGGCGAACGGCCCTTTGTTTGCAACTGGCTCTTCTGCGGGAAGCGCTTCACCCGCTCGGACGAACTGGAGCGGCACGTGCGCACCCACACGAGGGAGAAGAAGTTCACCTGCCCCCTGTGCAACAAACGGTTCACGCGTAGCGACCACCTGTCCAAGCACCAGAAGACTCACGCAGATTCCGCCATGCAGGGAAAAGGCGTAGCCGTGGAGGGGGAAACGGATCCTCGGGGCGAGGAGGCCGCGGAGCTCAACGCCGGCGCCGTACCCACCAATCCTGACCAGATAACCAACGGGGAGGAGAAGGCCGGCACGCCAAACGGAGTGGAGAACAGCAGTGGACTGTTGGAGATCTGACTTCATTAAATGTTCAGCTCAAATAATAATAATAATAAAAAATTGTTGTGTTTGAAAGGCATCAAATAAGATTAAAAAAAGAAAAAAAAACGACGAGAGACTGAAGATGTTGCCAGTAGCAACTGCTTCATTACCTATGGATCACACACACACGTACATAGCACACACACACATGCAAACAAGGTGCACACAGCACGAGCGAACCTGCAGAAGTATATATAATAGTGCACAAATGTATGCAGGCACACACAAACATGACCGACCAGGCCCGGACGTACGTGAACGCAAATACATCACGCGTGTCGCCTGGACACATACATATACATGCATACAGAGATAACTATGAGCAAATGTGCAGGCGTATGTAATGCACGCAAACACCTAATGGTAAACATGCTCATGCACACATTGTGCTGGGCCCACACGTACTTTTTCGGCCTTTCAAGTGAGACAAACCACTGGGGAAATTGAACCTGCGAACGCAGAGGAGAGGAGAGCCTCCAAAAGGGAAGCAGCTTTAAGAGGAGACGCGGGGTCAGGAAGCTGGAGCTGACGGAGAGTCGTACGCCTTACTTCCATACTTCATTACTCTTGAAACAATGAAAAGACAGACCAACTTACTGCTTCTCGTTGCCAAAGATTTGTGGGTTTTTTTCAATTGTTTTTTGTGGGGGTGGGGGGGGGGGTTTGCATT